GGGGGGGGGGGGGGGAGTTCGTCAGCTCAGCTAGTACATCCGCCCAGAATACCTACTGCCAACTCGCTCTTTGTCAACTGTATGTGTCCCCCACACACACCATCAGCAGCCCTGTACACTAGCCACGCTGCAGGCAGGCAGGCTCTTCCATCCATCAATCCGTGCGTCACTCACTCCCTTGTCTGTCTGTCTGTACACTCCTGCGACCACCAAGAGAGGAGGGAGGGACGCCCCACAGAGAGATGGATGGTTTTGTCAGTGACGTACGTACAGGGCATCACGTACCAGAGACAGAGGAGGATTGAATCGATCACTGACTGTGTTGTGGCGTCCTAGTGTCTTTTTCAACGTCACATGTACCACCCGTCCCGTCCCCACTGTTTTCTGAGGAGCATGTATCTTGAATGGTGTCATTCATGTGGGTGCCACTATGCTCTGCTTGTGGTCATACTAAGGGGGAGGGAGGGAGGCGTTACTACTACGTAACTTTATCAAGCATCGTGCATATGATGGGATGGATGCGCTGATTTGCATGCCTAATGGACGTTACGTACATTTTCTGGACCCTTCCTCGCATGTTCGTTCGACTGAAATGTACATGGTTGAACACAGAAAAGGTTCGTCGATCGACCTCTGAGCACAACAACATGTCCTTGCCATAGCATAGCTCCACCACACAAGTCCCCACCAGGTCACCCAGCCCCAACTCGCACTGACAAGGCAAGTGGGAGCGGAGTTCCCTGGTGTCGACGGATGTGGCCGAGCCAGCAAAGGGGACTCGGTGACGGCACGAGACGATACAGCATCAGAATGCAACAGAACACTCTTGCCATAGCGTAGCCACATCGGCAAGTCCGAGCACACACATCCCTATCGGTTGACGCAGCTCCAGCTTGCAGTGACACCACAAGCTTGAGCCACGGGAACCGACGGGGATACATGTATGCGCGTGAGCAAGCGAATGTGGGTCGGGAGTAACAAACAAAGAAGACAGCATCACAACCCAACCAGGGGGCAGCCCAGCCTGCCCTCCATGGCATGGATGATTCATGTACACCAGCTATCAACAGCAACACTGGCCGGCAGGCAGGCAGGCAGCCAGGCAGGCAGGCAGGCGAAAACAAGAAAAGAAACTCTCTCACCCCCCTCCCCCTTGCCCCCTCCCCTCTCTATATGAGTCTGTTCCACCAGCGCGACATGCGTTTGAGCATCCCCTCGCTCTCGTCCACGTTGGCCTGCACCCTCCCCACGTTGGCCTTGATCCCCTGGATCTGCTCCCGCTGCCGCCGCAGCTCACCCACCGTCATCTCGCCAACCCCCTCGCTCTCCGCCGCCATCCTCCTCGCCTCCTCCAGCCGCCTGCTGCCCTCGGCCATCTTGTCAATCTGCTGACGCCACTTCTCCCTCTCTGCGGAGGAGTCGATGGGCGGGCGTTGTCGTGCTGTGTCGGAGGTGGACGAGTCGAGTGATGCGAGGAGGGATCTGTGTCGGAGGTCGTCGAGGGTGGCGCGGAGGGAGGTGAGTTTCTTCTGGGATGCGGTGCGCCTCGGCGGCTGCAGGCCGCGGCACTCCATCTCCATACGCTCGAGAGTGCCTGCATGTGAGAGAAGAAGAGAGGGCAGGTGGGGTGGAAGCAGCCTCGCTCTAAGTGTGTGGTGTTTTGCTGCGCGTACGTTCCATTTCCCTCAGTTTGGAGCCGACGGCTGCAGCCGAGGCGGATGCATCGCTGCTCAGCTGCTCCTCGACAAACTTGGCGAGCGTCTCAAACTCCTGTTGATAATCCTGGCAAAAAAGGAAACAAGACATCTCTCATGGCGTACGTGATGCATGTGCCTGCGTTGCTCGCCTCACCTCAAACATTTCCGTCGCTTTCTTCCTTCCTAAAAACCCATCTCACCCGAAGGAAACAGAGCGAAATAGTGCACGAGGCTCGATAAAAAAAAGCATGAAACGGGCTCATTTGTGTGCTGTTGGCGCTGCTTTGGCCATCCTTCGTCTCCCGCCTCCCTCCCTTTGCCTCTCTCTCGGCTGCATCTACCCGCCCCCCAAGTTCACTGCCTTCTACAACCACGGCGTCAGCGGCCACCTGCTCAGAGCCAACGCCACCTCGTCGCGCAACAGTCTCGTACAACTAACCATGGACACCGGTACCGACGGCAGCCCGTCATCCGACCCATCGGTGCACATCGACATCGAGCACTTCGTGACGGACCCCTTCCCGACAGAGCTGGCGGTTGATGTGGCCAAGAATAAGTGGAAGTACAGGTGCAAGGTGGGCACGCCTGAAGCGATAGCCTTTGGGCCGATTGTGATGCGGGTGCGTGCGAGGGATGCCAACGGGACGGTGGCGCAGCTGCAGATCCCCGGGCCGCCATACAGCGCCATCCTGCGTAAGCAGGGTCCCCAGCCATGTGTCTTGTGAAGGTTGTTTCTGTCGTGTGTCTGCAGGGTGCGAATCAAGACGATAGACACTTGTGTGGGCCTGCCCTCGGTCAGTCCAGTTGTCCTCACACATAAGGTCTTGTGAGGACAGGACACACTCGAGCACTCGTCCATCCATCAGGCAGTGAATGATGCAAACATATAATTTGTCTACACACATCACATCTATGTATGTTATAGACCGTAGAAGGGCTGCGTTGGCACGCCGAAAACTCTCCCCATGTGTCAGACCAACCGCAGGGGCCGCCCACAATGGCTGCCTGTCCGTCGGTCGGTCGATGGGCTTCTACGTGTACGGTCACAAACACAGGGATGCACCAACCACACACACACACGGATACCCTCCCTCTACTAGGTGAAAAGTGGTGACCCTTCCTCCCTCCCCCAGACTCCCCTCGCTCTCTGACTTAAACACATATGCATCAATCGCATCACGTCAGCTCGCTCACACGCCAAAAACTCTGCGCCTCGATATTGTCACAACTTCATCCACGCAGACGGCCGCCGACACCCCAAAACACAAACTGTCACGATACAACCGACTCGACTGACTGACTGACAGGCAAGAAAAAACCATACCTGTCTATCTGTCTACTGCCCACCAAGGCAGTGAGCGAAAATCAGCCAACACCACCCGCCCTCCTCCCCCCTCCCTGTCTGTCATGTCAAGTGTCCATGTGTGGTTCATGACCCCGTGTGTGTCATTTCCAGCCACAGCTGCAGCGCGTCGTGCTCCATCTGCTCCTTGAGCTGGTGGTAATGGAGGTCCTCGGCCTCGGCCGGGGGGGACAGGGACAGGTGACCACCGTGCAGCAGCTGAGGCTGCATGGGGGTGGTCGACATGGTCACTGCTGGCGGTTGTAATGCTGCTGGGGACGGTGATGGTGGCACGTGCGGCTTCACATGTGGGCGGCTGTTTGAAGAGGCTTGGACAGCTGCTGGGGCTGCGACGGGGGTCTTGGGTGTTGGCTGCTCCTCCTGCTGCTGCTCCTGGTGTTGTGAGTTTTCCCCCCAGATGAGCTCGTGGGTGCGATCGCGGACCCTGTGTCTGTTGCACGCCCACATGGATTGCGGAATAATGTGTACATGTGCATCATCATGCCGTTTCCCGTCCGCCTGGCCCACCTTCTCTTGGCGATGGCATTCCAGTCCACCTCTCTCTCCCGACTCTCAGGTTTGGTGGGCTCGCCAGCACCATCCTCCTGCTGCTGTTGCGTGTCGTCCTCTTGGACCAGGTAGGGCTCCAGCCTGCCCAGCAGGTCCACCGGCACCTTGGCCGACAGGTAGGTCGAGCCCTCTCGGTACTCGACAAAATCAACTGAGGTGCAGCAAGAGGGCACAAGCAAGACGACGCGACGGTCGGTGTGTGTGTGGTGTGGAGGTAGCTGCATGTGTGTGTGTGTGTGTGTCGTTGCATACCTGTGCCCAGTTCGAACACCTTTGACACCAGCTGGCCCTCAGCGTAGGGAATGTCAACCTGTGACACACAGAACATACCGACACACACATCCACATGGATGGATGGATCTTCACTGAATATGTTTGCGTGAGCACCTCTATCGGTTGCAGGAGCTTCTCGAGTGCATCCCCCAGTGCGGCAGTGACATCCTCCATGCCCATGGCCGTCTTGGCTGACACCGCCACGCAACCTGCAAGCGCAGCGTCGATCTGCACTTGACCTGATACACACACAATCACACAAACGTCAGTCAATGCACGAGTACAGACAACACTCTCTCACGAGCACCAACAGACCTGGGTCGTCCAGCAGGTCGATTTTGTTCCACACGGTGACGATGGGCTTGTCGTCACACTCTAGCTCGTGCAGCACCCCCAGGACGGCCCGCTGCTGCTTGTCGTTGAGGGGGTTGCTCTTGTCCACCATGTGCACTATCACATCCGCCTCACGCACCTCCTCGAGCGTCGCGCGGAACGATGCCACCAAGGTCGTGGGCAGCTTCTGAACCGTTGGAATGACACGCACTCAGGCGACATGTGTGTGTGGTGTGTGTGGTTGGAAGGCACCTGTATGAAGCCGACGGTGTCTGTCACGAGCACCTCTGGGTGTATGCTGCTCCCCGGCAATCGAATCTTGCGTGTGGTCGGGTCAAGTGTGGCGAACAGCATCGGCTCTAATAACACACAAACAACACGACATGGAGCATGTGAGCTGGGTCTGTGCACCATATGTTGTGCGCGTGCCACACCACACCGGCGAGGACTCCCGCGCGAGTGAGAGCGTTGAGTATGGTGGATTTGCCCGTGTTGGTGTAGCCCACGAGGGCAATGACGGGCATGCCCAGCTTCTTCCGACGCTTGCGATGCATCTCCCGGTGCTGCTTCACCTACATCGATCAACAGCACAACACACCCACCCGAACACACACACACAAATGTCTTGCTTGCCTCATGCACACACATGCCCATCATCCCACCCACCTTGTCGAGCCGCTTCTGCAGAGTGAGGATTTGGTCATACAGCAGCCGTCGATCCGTCTCAATCTGACTCTCGCCAGGCCCCCGCAGCCCCACGCTGCCCTCACCCCCCTTGCCGCCCACCTGACGCTCCAAATGCGTCCATAGCCGAGTCAGGCGAGGCAGCCTGTATTGCGCCAAGGCCAGCTCCACCTGCAGCTTGCCTTCTCGGGTTCGGGCGTGCTGCGCGAAGATGTCCAGGATCAGTGCTGTACGGTCGAGAACCTTGATGCCGCCCGGGATGCCGCCAAAGGCCTCTTCCAGGTTCTGTGGAGCAGGCAGACAGACATGTGTGTATAGACCTCAGTGTGGTTGTGTTGTGTGGGTGTGTGTTTGGACCTTCTGCTGTGCAGGCGTCAGCTCTGCATCGATGATGGCGGTCTTGCAGCCCAACGCCTGCATCGACCGCCGAATCTCATTCACCTGACACACATACCAACAGAGAGAGGGGAAGGACACATATGCCATGCCGCCAATCCGCACAAACACGTAGGCATCTCTCTCACCTTGCCCGGCCCAATGAATGTCTTTGCGTTAGGCTTTGCGACGCGTTGGTAAGTGGAGCCGACCACCTCCAGCCCGGCCGTGCCGGCCAGCTCACTCAGCTCGCCCAGCGACTCCTCGAGCGTAAACTCGTCCTCCTGCGATGATCCGTCGCTGCTGCGGGAGCCGGGCTGCCTCTTCATCTGCGGATGGATGTGCGAGAGGGGAGATAGAGAGGACACACTAGTGCCATGGCCGTGTTCCGAGCTCTAGGTGTGTCGTGGGTAGGTATGGTGTGTGTCCATACATACCTCCAGCCCGACAAGGAAGCATTTCTCCCTCCGCTTGATGTGGCTCTCCCGCGGGTCATAGTACCGAATGGCGCGCTCCATGAGGATCTCATCGAGGTCACGTATGTAGCCCACTGAAGCGTCCGCATCCTCGACCTCACCGCCATCAGCCACACCTTGCCCTTGCCCGTCGGCCTCTCCCTGCTTGTGCTGTATCTCATCGACCAGGATCGACGCCTCCTTCACCTCATCCCGCGTCCACTCCTCCGCTTTCTCGCTCGCCCGGTCGTCAAACTCCCACAGCCGGGCAGCATCTTCGGCTGAGTGCTGCCGCTGCTGCTGCTGTTGCTGGTGCTGCTGTTGCTGCAGTAGTGGCCGCGGGCTGGCCGGCCGTTTGCTGTGGAAGCGCAGCACCAAAGACGAAGAGTGCGGAACGAACGCATCGGCGAAAACAACAAAGCCCAGAAGAGTGAATGTGACAGCAAGCAGCGTCATAAGGCCATGATCACAATGAGATCCGCTTCGTCTTTCCTCGAGGCTAGGATCACTGCCTCGAACAACACAGACCACGTCATGGCCCTTGTGTGTTGGGTGTGCGCTGTTTTGAAGAGGGGTTTTGCGAGCTAATCTCAAAGGTGTGCGGCTCGCAAAAGACGACGTGGCCTCCTGGGCATTGTGGTGCTGTGTCGTCGTGACACTAGATTCCAAGATGAGAGGAACTGTCTTCCATCCGCGTGATGCTGTTCGACCTTTCAGTGAGCCGTCAGGAGCACCATCGCCGCATTTATCTGTGGCAGACAGACACCATCGACGGCAGCAACCGCGGCGGCTGGCGGATCTATCATCAGTGTTGATGGCAGTGATGGCCGTTCTGTGTCTATCTGCGAACGAAGCCTTTCGAATCGACTATGGGATGAGGAGCGGGTTGAGGGCGAGAGGATACGGGCAGCGGATGGCACTCAGAAGCCGGGTATGGTATGCACAGATATATCAGCAGACAGATCAACAACACGACACAGACGATGACAGCACGTCCTGCCTTGCCTTCAGTCAGCGAACCTTTCTGTGTTGTGTTGGTCTTCTCTCTCTCAGCCGCGGAGCTCCCTGCAGATGAGTGTGTCGCTGCCAGGCGACCCCTATGTGCCCGATCCAGAAGACGACAAAGACAAGGAGAATGAGAACAACAGTGACAAGTTCGACGAGAGCCAACCCACCCCACTGCAGTTCGACCTCCCCCTCTCCGCCCCACGGCCCTCCAGCAAGAAGGGCAGGGGCCTCAAGCAAGAGCCCTCGGGCAATCCCTACTTCGACGTCGTCTCGCGGCTCTCGCCTAATGAGCTGGTGGCACGCTTCGTGCAGACGGCGCCGAAGCGCGTGCAGGACGCGGCGAGGACCACTGTGTTGGGTCTGCTGGGGTCCATCCCGAAGTACGCCCTGGAGACGACCATCCTGACGACAGGCGAGAAGCTGGCCAACCTGATGTTCCAGCTGCAGATGACTGGCTACATGCTCAAGAACGCCGAGTACAGGCTGTCGCTTGCCGAGTCGCTCAAGAACGTCCCAGCCACCGTCCCAACAGGCATCAAGGAGGGCGAACTAGCAGCAGCAGCCGCCGCCGCTCCCACTGCCTCCCCCGCCTCTCTCGCTGCACCGGCTGTGTCGGGTCACATCCAGCTCCATTTGGCCAACGGCGAGGCGATAGAGGTGGCAGCGTCCGAGTACCTGGCTGAGCTGCGGAGCGAGGTGCGTGAGCTGGAGGAGGAGCTGGCCCGCAAGGCCAAGGAGGCGCAGCCGAAGCGGCAGGACGACCTGCTCAACTACATCAAGTCGCTCCCCGAGGCGCAGATGCGGTCGCTCACCGAGAATATCAACGAGGAGGTCCTCGACGCTATGAAGAAGGTCAGCACAGCGGTTTGCACACATGCGCACACGCGCACACGTAACAGACAGATGTACCTCTCTCTCTCTCTCTCTGTGTGTGTGTGTGTGTGCATGTGTGCAGCTGACGCATGTGGTGGTAGAGGGTCTGGGTGGTGGTTCGCCGGCTCCGATGGGTCAGGGTGACGTGATAACTCAGCAGACGGGCAGCGCCATGGCTCAGCTGTGCATGTGGCAGCTGTCCATCGGGTACAACCTGAGGGAACTCGAGGTCAGGGAGGACATCCGCAAGAGCGTCGCGGAAAGCTTCAAGGAATGAAGAATAGCCTGGCAATGAATACATACACGGCTGCATACACACACAGATCGGTGGATCGGCGGATGCATGATGGGTGGATGGATGAGTGGTTGATGGGGTGAAGCCTCAATGGGTAGACAAGACGAGAATGGTTGGGGGCTCTGCCTGCTGACCATTTTTTGTACCTATCTTTCATGTGTGTGAGCGTGTCTGTGTGTGGGGGGGGGGGGGGGGG